GGTGAGAATGTGTGGGTATATAATAAATGATAGTACAAAAATTTGGTGGGGAATTATTAAGTTGGTGGTATTTTAATAAATTCATGGCCATGAATTGAGTGGAACTCGCCCATGGTTTTAATTACACCAACCCAGGTGATTCTGTGCCAGATTTGTTGTAGTTCAATTCATTTGGGGGTATATTCGTAATTGCAGACTCTCTGAAATGTCAGAAAAGTTAAAACTGAGTCAGTTGAGTCAATTTTTGTAATTTAGGTCATTTGAGCAAAATGGAAACTTTTTCAGGTCAATTGAGTCAATTTCCCGGGAAAATCTAGGTTTTTACCCTTTTTTTTTTCCTTTTTGTTTCGTTATTTTTCAAAATGAAAGAAAATTCTTGTCCTGGAGTTTATATATTATATAACTTAATATTTTAGTACCAAAAAACTACAAATTTTATGGATTATATGTTGAATATCTATGTTGAGTTTGTGTTGAGGTAGAGGTTTACCGTACTATATACGAAAAAACATATATTATAGACTATATGTTGGGTACATGTCCAGAGACTCAGTAGGCAGGGAGACTTGAGTGAGTCTTGTGTAATTAGGAAGGTATCATCATTTTTGCAGCCAATCGTTTCATTAGGATTGTGAAGATGTTGGGAACTATGACTATTCTAAGAGGGATGCACAACATTTATGGTTTCTTATGTAGAGACGGACTCGATAGAGGTAGCTAAGTTGCTGTGAAGGGAAGACGATGGTCTTTCTGAAATAACGTGAGGAATCAAATAAATTTTGCATCTTCATGATGCTTGTGGCGTCGTCTTTTTCAATCAAGTAAACATGGATGGTAACTTTTGTGCTCACTATCTTGTTTGCAGGGCTTTCGAATTAGAGGAAAATGTATGTTGGATTACTTGTATCTTTGGTTGGCTGGCCTTGTGTCGAATAAGTACTTTATTTATTCTTAATAAAAGTCTATTATTTTCTAGAAAAATATATATGTGGGGTATATGTAAAGGGATGGAGTTAATATGGATTAAATTTTGTATATATGCCATGTATACAACTATCATGGGTGACTTATTGGTTCATGAGTTAAAATTTCATGACGGCCACCTACTTTATATAAAATTTGAAGAATTCACGTTTGAAATATAGTTTCTAATATGACCTAAAAAACAATTTTTCTATTTTTTTATTTAATAGGTTAACGAATAATGAAGAAATGAGTTTACTTTTTTTTTTATTAGAGCGTGGGAGTGGAAGGAAAGATAGAAAAATAAATTTAAAGTATATTTTATATTAAGTAACTGATTTTTTAGAAACCCACCCCAAACTGGATTTTTTTTAATAATGTGAATTTTAAAAGTATTTACCAAAATATGCCACTCGTCAAACTATTTAACAAAATAATGCTTTGAAATTCATAGGTCGTCAGAGACCTATGAACGGGCATCAGTTGATCGTCGTCTCGAGACGACCAACAAACGTGGCGCTTAGCGCCACGTTAATTTTTTTTAAAATTAATCATGGTCATCTCTATGTCTTTTTTTCTTTTTTTTTTATAACTTAACATATCGTCTCTAGAGACGACATGTGAGGTCCCAAAAGGCAGCGGCGATGGTTCTATAATCATGTTGTAAAACTAAAATTATTAAAAAAAAAAAGAAAAAACAGAAACAAAAATAAGAAAATAAAGGAACATCTCATCATTTACTTACCAAAGGCGGCGGCGGCTGGACGGAGCAGTGATCGGCGACGACGACTGGACGGAACGGTGACTGGCGACGATGACTGGATGTTGGCGGCGATTTGGGCGAGAGAGAGAATGGAGCGGTGGTGGGGCAGATAAGTTAGGGGTTTTAAAAGGTCGTCTCTTCAAGAGACGACCAAGGTGCCAGGTGGCGCCCATGCATAATTGGTCGTCTCTAGCGGGATTTCAAAAAATCCTGCTCAAGAGACGTCATGTTGAGTAATTTAAAAAAAAAAAAGAAAACAGCATGGTCCTGCCACGCTGTTTAAAAAGCGGAGACCAAGCGTTATTTAAAAAAAAAAATTGTTTGTTGGTAGACGACCCACTGATGCCAGTTCAACCTATGAATTTCAAAGCATTATTTTGATAAATAATATGAGGAATGACATATTTTGGTAAATACTTTTAAAATTAACATTATTAAAAAAAAAAAAATCCCCCCAACCCCACCCAAATTTCTAAAAAAGAAAAACTTTCGGGTATAGAAACGACAATTTCCCAATTTCACTCCACTTCTTAAAATTACGAATTACCTAGTGGATAAAGGGCTAATTTGAGTGTGTTTCCTTTGACACCCAGGAAGAGGAAGTGAGAGGTGCAAGACGAGTCAGGCTAATGGAAGCGTTGAAGCTCTATGGAACAATATGGTCCCAGCCATTGTTGAAGCACCTCATTCGCTTAGCTTCTTCCTCTTCCACAATCACCGCTCTCACTCCCAAAACTTATTGTTCTACCCTTTTCCTTCGCCGCTGTTCTTCCACCGCAATCTCCACTGGTGGAGACGGAAAGGTTAAGCTCTCCGGACGCAACCGTCGTTCTTCATCCTCCAATGCATCGTCCCCATCTTCTACGTCTGATCGGGAGGCGGTTCGTGCAATCCGCTTAAAGAAGGTTCTGCTCAAACCACTTAGAAATGCACTATACTCCAACTCCACCCCTTCCCCAACTCTCTTATTTCTGGACTTGCTTGAATGTGTTGGGCATTCATGTGGTGTTAGGTTGAAGAATTGAGGAGCAGAGGCTTGGAACCTTATGCGTATGAGTGGGACAGGTCACATACTGCTGCTCAGCTTCAAGAGTTATATAAACATCTAGGCAATGGTGAAGAGTCTAATAGCGACACTGACTGCGTGTCAATAGCTGGAAGAATTGTGGCTCGCAGAGCGTTTGGAAAACTTGCATTTCTGACATTAAGAGATGATTCCGGTACAATTCAGGTTAGTGAACTCGCTTGCTTCCATGGACAAACGTATACATATATGCACGCTATTACTTCGCAAGTCTCTGCTAAGATTGGTGAAGCCCTATGGAGTGCATATAATATTGTTTCTTGTTCGAGGTAGTAGAGTATTTTTAAGAATGGGATAATTATGTATTTGATGTTAGATGGTGGTGAACATGATTGGGAGATATTTGACGTTTGGTCTGTTTTATTTTGTTCTCTACTTATATTCACGATCTATATACAAGGTGCTGTTGTGAAGAGTCTTATACTACTGCTCTTCTAAGCACGGGCCATGTAATCAACATAATTGATTGGACTTTTGGTTTCAGCTTTACTGTGAGAAGGAAAGGCTCATAAACGATCAGTTTGATCAGCTAAAAAATATTGTTGATATTGGTGATATTCTTGGTGCTCGAGGTTCAATTAAGCGAACTGAGAAAGGCAAGTTCTCGTGTTGTTGTTTCTTAATGTTTAGATCACATATATCTGTTGGCAGGAAAGACTTTCCGTAGTTGTCTTCTGGAAGGTAGAGCTTTAGAAGTTAAATCCTCATTGAAAGTAGCTACTACTAACAAGAAGTACATTTTTGTATAAATCTAATTGAAATTAGGACAGAACCTCAAGTATTAATATTGTCCTAATCAGTCTGTTGCACATGAAATTGCCAAAAAATTTAATTATTTTATGTTTTTCAAAAAAGATAAAAATAGATTGATTTAAAAGTTTGACATCTAGGATTTGGGACGTGTAACAATTACTTTCCTTTACATTGATCTTTTATGAAGATTGGAGGGTGAATTGTTTGTTATATTATTTTGTCATTTCTTCAGGGCATGGGAATCAGAAAGAACCTCTTTATGCACGTTTTTCTTTACCCACACTAGTAAGACAGTGGTGTCCTGAGACCACAGTTAATGGCATCGCATATTGTACATAGAATAATAAGAGAGAAAAATATTGGCATGAATTTTGCATATTTATTTTTTAAGGTAAAAGTTATTGAGAAAGTATATAATTTAGGCATGGTGTGCAAATTTTGAATTCTAAAGTTAGTTACATATTTTTTGGAAAAAAAAAATTATGTATCAATCCTCTATATTCCTTTGTGGATCTAAACTGCCTTTTTAATTAAGCATGTTGATTTGTTGTGTTTTAATTGTTTATCCTTCATTTTCTCCAGGGGAACTTTCTGTTTGTGTGAATTCTTTTGCAATCCTGACGAAGTCATTACTTCCACTTCCTGACAAATATCATGGTTTAACTGATGTTGATAAGCGCTACCGCCAACGGTAATTTTGGTCCTCTTCTTTTCTTTTCTATTTCAAAGGCTTTTGTTGTAAGAGTTGTGAAAATCATCTTTTGATGATGTACTTGATTGTCCATTTTTCAGGAGTTCATATCCGACATGAATCACATGATCTTATTATATTTTTCCTATGCATTAAGAAAATGCATACAATTTAACGTGAACATTTATTTCAATTGCTTGTTGCCAAGGAGAAAAGCACTCAAAATTTTCTGCCAAGAGATTGGCCTGGTTTTTATATCATCAATAAACTGAAGGTTATTGATAGCAATTCGCAAAAATGGAATACGATTTTTTTTAGGGGTTTTTTTTTCTTTTTTGGGTGAAAACCCTCATTGATCAGGATGAATATCAGGCCTTCCCCTTTCTTAAAAAACCTTAGAATGTCTTTGAAAATCAAGTTGGCTTCGAGGGATTTTTCATCTCCTTCTTTAGTTTTCCTCTCCTTTTGAATATATTATCATTTACATATGAAAAAAAATATCTATCTGTTTCACATGTAATTTTCATTCTCTAGATATCTTTTCAATCTTATGAAGACATTGCACTTCAAATGTTTAATGTACATTTAAAATATGCTTAAGCTCACTAATGTATTTTTCATAGTTGACGTCATATTGATGTATTTCACTTTCAGATACATAGATATGATTGCAAATCCCGAAGTAGCAGATACATTCCGGAAAAGAGCAAAGGTGATGTAGGCTTACTTAGCTAAATAATTCTCAATACTTCAAGTATCCTTGATGCTTTTTTAACCCTTAGTAAATTGTGACGTTTTTTTTTAACCCTTCTAATTTAGTAGTATTACTTCCAAGAAGAGAAATGAAAGTTGAAAACCAACTTCAGGTTTCTTTTATTGGTAAGAAACTAACTTTCTCTTTTCTTTTTTTTTGAACAAGATGTGAACTTCTCATTGATTAATGAAAAGGAACTAAATTGTTCAAAAGATACAATCTCCCAAAGGGAGAGAAAGAAGAGACTAACTTTCAATAAGCTCTCTCCTGTCAAGATGGAGATGTGACTGAAAATGTGTGTGCTTTGTTCTCTGTGTTTGTGTATGTTTTAAATAAATAAATTTATCGTATGAACATCTATCAGACTTGCTTTGAGGCTTGATTGTATGGACATGGCATGCATGTAGACAATGTAATCAAATATAGGTTGATCATATTTTATTTTTCTTTTTCAATGTACTGTACAGATACTTTGGTTCACGTTAAAAACAAATAATCGGACCACACTCAAATTCTTTTTCCAATGTTTACAAATTACTACCAAACATTTTAACATATTGCAGATTTTCAGTCAGTTCTCACACCTACAAAGTTTTCTCATGTTTCCTTGTTTTTTGAAAACGTGTCTTCAAATCACCAAAAGGGATCATAAGATTTGTAATTACTCTCCTTTTTTGTATCAATTTTATTGTAAATTTCATTTATCAATGAAATTGAGTTTCTTATTGAAAAAAAAAAAAGAAAAGAAGGGAAAAGAAAAACAATAATGCCAGGTTCTCTAATACTTTGAACTCCTTGCTCTCCCCTATTTGTATAGATAATATCAGAGATCCGGAAGACTGTGGAATCATTAGGTTTTGTCGAAGTCGAGACTCCAGTCCTACAGGTTTGTGAATATTCTCACAGCTTCATTTAAATATTATATCTAATTTAATAGACTTTTTTTTTCTTCTAATGAAGATTAATTTACACGTTTGAAAATTATTAATCATTCTAATTCCATTGACGTGGCTCCAAATTTCCTTTCTTCCTCGAACTTCTGAAATCTCCTTTGCTTGCTTGTTTGCATCCATGAACTATTTTTGCTTTAGTTGATGAGATTTATATTGTGTATGTTCACATATTCAGAATCCAAATTTCACTAAGATTAATATTCGTGTATTCCTCTTTATGATCCAAGTATTTTTGGGTTTATTCACTTGGACGTTAGCTCTTTTTGTCTGTATTGCCTTGATTTTGTTATTTCATTCTTCTTAATGAAAGTTTCTTTTCTCATTCAAAAATAATAGAAGTAAATTGGACTTGGACTTGTATATGCCAATGGATTGCTACTCATTTTGGACATTGACTTTTTTGTAAAGCATAACAATCTCCACCCTCGCTCTCTCTCCCTCTTGGTGATCGACAAAGTGCTCCTCCTTTTAGGGAATATTTTATGATAATAACTATCCCCTCCAGGTAGCCTATCCTATCAATTTGTAAAATGAATATCGTCCTATAGCTACTTTTTCTTTCCTTCTTTTTGAGCATTTTTGGAGATCCGGCCTTTTATTTCTGCAAGTTCCCTCTAAATTGTATTATAGTACTGTCTATGAACACGTTTTGATTTGACAGCTTGCAATTTGACAGAAGGCTGGCAAATTATCTTATGGCTGGCCTGAACTATATTGCCATCTTGCCTCTGAGAAATAGGAAATGCTTGATAAACTTGTATTTTAGAGGAACTCCCGAAGTTAACATTTCTACATCTTTCTGTGTTAAACCTTATATCAAATATAACTTGCAAGACTGGTGCAAATTACATTGCTATTATTTGAGCCAGTTGATTACAGAGGAATAAAATTGGTCAAATTTGTAGCTATCAAATTGTCCCATCTGCTTGATCCTGACTGTCACAATGTTGAGAAGCATTTTTTAATTATGGATGAATTTGTTAGTTGTCGCCTTCTTCTATGTATTACTTAATTATAAATTGAAGTGCCCAAATATAGTTATTACCTGGTACTTGATTTTTGATTTGTTTAAATCAACTAGGGAGCAGCTGGGGGAGCAGAAGCAAGGCCTTTTGTTACATACCACAATTCCCTTGGGAGGGATCTGTATTTAAGAATAGCTACTGAGCTCCACTTGAAGAGAATGCTAGTGAGTTATTGATATTCTAATCCTTTTATGTGGTTGTAAAGAATGAAATTACAGATCCCCTTTTTTCATTACTAAAATTTCTGGTTCTCAAGATTTTTGCAAACATTAATCATTAATTGAAGATGTTGCTTGTTTTTTCCCTTTTTAGTTCCTTCAGCATTCTTGGGGCTGTTCTCATTGCGTTCCATATATTCATCTGCAAGCGTCCAGGAATAATTATTGATGGAAGTTTCATTCTATCTTCTTTCCTTGTTTACTTTAATCCTGCCAAGTTCTGCAGAAACTTGAATGCAGTGACATGACATTCATCATATGCCTTGTATGTCATTATTATTAATATATAAATAATGTTCGAAAAAAAAAAAAGCATACTGAGTAATGTATGACTGTGCTTGATGTTCCAAAGGTGTGGGTACTATTAAAAACTTTTTGTTTTGTTTTTTTTTGAGAGAGGAACATCCTAATCTCGTTGTGGGTATTATAAATTGACTTTCAAAGAACTAATACCATGCTAGGCTTCATGTTCTCTGTTTCTGTTGTAGCTATCCAGAAAAAGTTTGTTCTTCGCACACATTTATGCCTTTTTCTCCTAATGCTAGTTATGATGTCGTTACTTTTTTCTTCATTTGGATTCTTGATATAACCCTTTCTTTTATCAACACACACAAACTTGTATGTTTAAGATTTACAATATTCTGAATATATTGTTTGTGGATGACAGGTTGGTGGTTTTGAGAAAGTATATGAAATTGGACGCATATTCAGAAATGAAGGAATTTCAACTCGTCATAATCCTGAATTTACTTCTATTGAGGTAACCTTTCTTTTGATCATTCTTTGCTTCCGTCAATGTGGAAACACTTTGAAGATGCATCTTGAAAATGGAGCTCTAATCAGTATTTTATAGTTTGATCAATAGATATATGAAGCATATTCAGATTATCAGAGTATGATGAACATGGCTGAAGAAATTGTTACTCGTTGTGCTTTTGCCATTCATGGGAAACTTTCTATTGATTACCAGGTACGTTCAGTTCAACTTTGAACATTCTAGTTTCTCTCCATGTGTATTGTATGCAAATTTTCTTGTTTGCTTTATTTTGTAAAATGAAAACTTGGTATTTAACCAGTTTTGAAGTTTTTCTAAAACAATCAAAGAAAAATTTGAAAGGCCTTTCAAATGGTAAAAGAGAATTTTGTAGATCAATGTTATAAAAATTCTTTTGGAACTTTGGCTTGAAAGGAATAGAACATTCCAAGAACTTTTTCCAGATGATCGTATTTTTTGGCAGAGGGTCAATGGTTAGCTTCAACATGGAGCTCAACCTCCTATTGTAAGGTTTTTCATAATTATCCTCTTTTAGTTATTGATGCCAATTGGGGAATGCTTTTATGTAAGCTGCCAGACGAGTTGTGAGAATGCCTTATCCTCTCTTTTGTACTCTTTCATTTTTTTATGGAGGTTTCTTATTAGAAAGAACTGGTTTTAAAGTTTTTCGGAGAACTGGATATGGAAAAATCCTTGTTGCTTCTCATTTTTCTCATTGGAGCATATAAACCTATCTATCTGATCAGTTGTAGAAGGATGCTCAAATTTACAGAACATTCTATCTGGACACTGCCAATTATATGAATGACCTTATACAGTGGTTATTCCATACATCTTTGTAGGGAGTTGAAATATGCCTGGAAAGGCCTTGGAGGAGAGAAACAATGCACAACCTTGTCAAAGAAACCACTGGGATTGATTTAAATGAGTTTAGAAATGACCTTAAAGTTGCCAAAGAAGTTGCTTTGAAGACCATTGGGGATACACTTGATAATAAGGACAAAACTTCTATTGGAGCTAGCCAATCAATTGGGCACCTTCTGTCTGAGGTTATGCTCCATCTCTACCTAGGAAGCTTACCTTTATGCTTGATATTCTGTTAGAATATGTTAGTCAACTCTTGAAACTTTATGGATGCAATTAGTCCACTTTGTTAGGATTCATTTGTTGTCATTTTCTAACTTCTCCACTTTGCAGCCTGCCAATGGGCGTCAATAATTCTATTTCTTTTTGTAATAGTTTAAAATTTTATCTGATAAATTGGAGGATTTTCTTGTTTTTCCTTTTGTCTTTTGGCCTATATTCTTTTAATTGGAAGCCTTTCTTGTATCTATTTAGTTTGGGCTCTCTTTTGGCCTTGTTCATCCTTTGCTATAATGAAATAGTTTTATATCATAGAAAAAAGTTGTCTTTGTTTAATCCAATCCTTATGGATTTGCATATTATGTGTCCAGATTTTTGAGCTTATTGTAGAACCGAAGCTCCTTCAACCCACATTTGTTCTGGATTATCCGGTTGAGATATCTCCTCTGGCTAAACCTCATAGAAGGTATTAAGGCCACATGGTGGTGTATCTATGTTTTTAACTTCGTGTTTCATGTAATCATAATGTATTGAGATATCGGAAGGTTAGCAATATTCCAATCTGAGCTCTGAGCTTATACTCTTGAAAGTGTATTTGCTTTTCTATTTCTTACCTAGCCAAGTGGTTCATATACTGACAGATTCTAGAGAATCAGTGTCATGTGTAAATGTAGATGCTGAAACTGTTTTGGGTATGCTATACGTGCATCAATGTCAAAACTTTCCATTTCGTTGGTATCAAAGAATCAAGTTTTGGGGCAAGAAAACTGATCACCAATTTCTATTTTATAAGCATTTTTATACAAACAACTGTTTTTTTTTAATAGGAAACATAAGCATTCCTATTGAAAATAAAAAACAAGGTTTGTGGTACAATAAGATATCTGATCCTGAAGGGTAAAACATAAAGGCATATTTTAGAATTCCTTTAGGAATCCACAAGGATGCCAAAAATTGAGCTATGGGGCATAACAAATTTATTTTACACCCTAAAACATTCAATCATTTCCCTCTTTCCTCAATTGTTGAAGGATGACCGTGAACACGATCAACTGTTTGAATGTTTTTATTCTCTCTTTGTTTAACTTGTATAATTTTTCTTTCTTCCTCCCCGGGGGCAGGGTGTTTAATAATTTCCACTTTTTCTTCTGTATTAGACATGCAGGGTTGACAGAAAGGTTCGAACTTTTCATTTGTGGTCGTGAGCTGGCCAATGCATTTTCTGAATTGACCGATCCTATTGATCAGGTAAGAGATAATTGAGTCAATCTGTTGGATTTAGTGGTTTTTATAAGCAATGTCAGAAGCGTATGCACGGTGAAACTTTTTACTGTTTAAAGTTGGAGTGCAGTAGTTGAGAGCCCTTGCATGTTAACGTTGGCTCAAGTACTCTACTATCAATTTGAATTCTTTTTCTTCTTTCAGCCGGAAACCTAATTATTTCGCAGATGGTAAGAAGTTTCCTTCAATTTGAATTTAAGGGACAAGTTTTTTCCATTGGTATAAGCCCCTTCCATCTTCCATCCACTTGTTTTCAAACTTGAACGTAGGGATGATCATCGATCGGGGTCGGTTTTCGGTTTTGACTGAAATTTTCCCAGAGCTTGAAATCGAAGACGAAGAACTTGGAACTCAAAATCGAAGGAAGAACAGTGATAAGAATTCCACACAAAAACTCGAAGGACGAAGGGAGATTCGACACATGAGCCACGAATAAATACAGAACCAGAGAGGCAAGGGAGATGGGCGGCCAACCGAAGGGAGATGGAGCATGAATAACTGAAGAAGATTGGGAGGGTAGGGCAGCTAGAACCCGAGAAACCAGACAGACAGAGGCGAGAGTAGAATCTTTGCAATGAAGAGAGAAATATGAGAAGATAAGCGAAAGAAAAGGGTGAGAGGGAGAGAATCGTGCTAAAAGGAAAGAAAGAAAAAAATCACGCTAAAAAAAAAAGAAACAGCGAGGAGAGAGAATAGCTTAGAGTGGGAATAGGGTAGGAAAATTTATATATATAAAAAAGAGAAAACTACTGTCATTTCCAAGAAACCAGCGTCTGGTTTCTTGGAACTGCTGCTATTTCGCAAAACTGATTCCGATGACTTGTCAATTAAATCAACCGACGGATGTTAGTTTGGTTGGTTTTGTTGGTCAGATCGATTTTTTTCTATACTTGATCACCCCTACTTGAATGCCGCCTGAACATCCTTAGTACAAAAGTTTGTAGGCTAATATGATTGAATGTATGTTTGTGGTACATTAATTGTCTAGTCCCCTTAAAAGTAATCCATCCTAGACACCAGGAATCTATTCTGACAGCATAAAATCACTTTGTCATGCTAGTTTGACCTTGTTAAACTAGCATTCACGAGGGGAGGAACAAATACCCCACATTCCTCGATTAAATTATAGAAAAATCTCAGACTTAGTCATTAGTGGACTAGCCTCAGAAGACTTCTAGAGGCCTCACAATGTTAAAATCCCATGGTTGTGGCACTCAAAAGGCTTATCCATGACTGGTAAACTTATTCTAGAAGTTGGTAAGTCCATGCCAACTTTGAAAGAAAGGAACTGGTCGCAAAGTGTTTTGCAGCCAACCAGAGACTTCCAGGGACTCATATCTCTTATTGTTTTCTTGGCAGTAGACCAACCTCCTCTCTACCCGGTACTTTCTTGAAATAAGAGAATATCATGAAGGGTGACTTACATGGGGAAAATGCCAAATCAATTTGGAGACCAATGTATGATTCTCCCTACCATCTTCCTTTTGATTAGAAACCTCCTTCCATTCCACCAAATGCCTTCCGGTGTTGAGACCTTCCCTAGCCTGGAGAAAGCTCCTAGTCCTCATCTTTTCAAGAATCTTAGCATCAGTCAAGTTGGAAGATAATTCTTATGGTTGGGCAGGCTATCTATTATTTTCCAAGCTTCGCAAATTCAAATCTGCTCTTAAACAATGGCACTATCAGAATGATCAAAGAAAGAAGGCTGGGGAAGTTAAAGCTCATCGAGGTAGTTTCCAGATTTATGGTTTGAAAGGAACCATCAGGTATTCAAGGATTCTCGTAGTTCAGCCTTAGAGTGTTTCAATTATGCCAGATACAAAGCTTTTCATTGGTGTGGTCTTTCTTATGTTTTCTCATACTTTTCTCCTCATATGATTTGTACGAATAGGGAGGCCTTTATAACTCTTTTTTAGTTTTGTTGTCCTTTTTATTTTTCAGTTTTCACTCCCTTGGGAGTTTGTATCCTTGAACAATTTTGTTCCTTTTCATCTGAAAAGTTCGTATCTTGTGGGAAAAAAAAAGAATCTTAGCTTTCTTTTTAATAAGAAACCTGACATTGTATTTTGATCAAAAAAAAGAAAGAAACAACCTGAGGCAGGGGAAGAGAGAACCCCCTTCCCTATCAGAGCTATTACAAGAAGATCTTCCAACCTCTGCCTAGTCCGTAGGGGAGAGCTTATAGGTTGTCTTGGTTTTTGAATATATTGTCTCTGTTTCTTATCAAAAAGAAAAAAAAAAAAAAAAGAAGACCTTCCAACCTTGGAGGATCATGGAGAGAGAATAATTACAAAAGAATTTGTTATAGTGGCACCACCAAGAAGTATAATAAACTATACATTACTCCAAAATAACTAAATTGGTAGACTAATCTTCAAAAAGATATGCAATTCCTTTCCAACCCAAGACCCCACAACCACACCCTAGATGCACATTTCCCCTAAATTCTGGCTTTGTTTTTAAACATTTATCAAACTTGAAAAAGGGTCAAAAGAAATGGTTCGACCCTCTTATTTTGATTTCTCGAACCGGGGTCTTTAGTCTTTTGATTAGAGTAGGGGTCTCGAGGGAGCAAAGCGTACCGCCTTGCCATAGTCGCGGGGTCTTTAGGGTATAGGGTTTATGTTTTCTCATACTTTGTGTCACTAGGCAAAAAGTACTAAACTAAGTTACAGATTAAAGAGTCTCAAAAGAGAGAAGGAAATTAGCATGAGCTATATAATTCACATCTTAGGCTTTATTGATAGGCTAAAAGGTTGAGTGGTTTCATCTCAGGCACCAATATTCTCTATTTTCTTAATTGTAAGCCGTGGGAAAATTCATAGCTTTTAGGAGATTAAGGCATGGGGATATATTTTCCCCCTTTCTCTTTCTATAGGTGGGAGATGTTTTAAGTCAAATGATCAATTTTAGCACTGAGAGAGGTATTCTTGGAAGAAGGAGTGATTGATAGCTTGTTTTGCAGAGACGACCAAGGAGTGATTGATAACTTCTTCTCAGTCTTTATATTGTTTGAGTTGGCCTCTGGGCTGAGGATAAATTTGGAGAAATCTATGTTTTGTGGAATTAATAAAGCTTTTGATAGGATCAAAGAGGTGGCTGAAGCTATAGGGGACGATATAGCTCTTCAGATTCCTGTGTGTTACTTGGATATGCTTCTCTTGTATAACAAAGAGGTCTGACTTTAGGAAATAGGTTGAGGAAATGCTATTTAGTAAGAAATAAGGCTAGAGATGTGAAAGAAATTTAGTTTCTCCAAAAGAGACAAATTAACTCTAAATCTTGCAATGTTATCTATTCCAGTCTATATGACGTGGAAGATATTTTTAAATGACTTGGTTGAAAAATCAAGAGACTTTCTAATTCTGAGGACCATCTATCACATCATATGAAAACAAAAAGAATTAGAAAATATGAGATTACTTTGTTGGAAAATCGAAAGGCTTATCCAAAATCTGAATATTGAAATCATTAAAAAATTAATAGAAAAGTTGAAATATAACAAGGCCGGTTCTATAATAATTGGAAAGATTGTCATTTAAAAAAAAAATTGGCAGAGAGGACGATTTGAAGAGCAGATTAGGCAACACAATGAGAAGCGTGATGCAGCTGTTTCTGGACCAGACTCCGTAGGTGGCAATCACAAAAAAGACGAGGATAACTCTTATGAAGTGACACTTGATGATGACTTTCTTACAGCTCTGGAGTATGGAATGCCACCTGCTTCGGGACTGGTATGGTTATCTGTTGTCTGTCCACTTTTCTTTATCTCTTTTTGGACATCTTCAATAAGACTGCTAGTGTAACTCTAGCTCTTTATCCTTTTGACATTGAATAATCACAGCGAAAATAGATTTGGAAAGTGGCTAATGAAAGTATCTCAAATAGCTATTTCTTAGCTGCTCTGAAATTTTCTCATATGCAAATTTCTAATGACCAGTTGCTGAAGTCTCTCTCAGATGCAGCAGGTGTATAAAATTTTCAAGTGCATAATTACAAAATAATAAAATTGTTAATCTGTACACCACATTTGGGACTGATATTTGAGCAGTAGTGAAATTGACAGATATTTTGATGATAGGATTAGTGTATATATGAAAAAAATGTCACATTACCAAAATCTAGGGGATTATTGGAATTTAAAAATAAAACTTCTATGTTGCATTTGCATCATTTTATTTGCTTTATTTTTACTTGTAGTTTGTCAAAGATGTAATAAAAGATAGTTAAAAGGAGACTTTTTAAATTGGTCTTATACTATGATAATTTTATATTCACATAATACTATGAAAAGGTATATCTTTCTTGAGGTAAACATTAAACACTCAAATAGTGGTTGGTATAGAGAAATATGGAACATATCATGGATCTTTTCTTTTACTTGGATGTTTAGTATCCTTTTTCTTTACTGTAACTAAACTGATGAACGAATTCAACTTTCAGGGGATTGGAATTGACAGATTAGTAATGCTTCTGACAAATTCTGCAAGCATTCGAGATGTAATTGCTTTTCCAGTGCTTAAAATTCAGCAGTAATGTCAGGACAAGTGGCCTGGGAGAGTCTCAATGTCTGTACCTAAATTCCAAGTTTTGTTGGCTAGCAGGAGCAGTTATTAAAAGGCCTTTCAAGTTTATGCATCTGGCTGTGCTACTTGAGGCCTGCCGTCCAGTTCTATTAGTTATTTATTGTTGTAAAATTTCCCTTTAGGTTCTTTAATGTATCGTTATGACAAGGGCGTTAAGCATGGATTGAATTGAGATTAGAAATAACAGAACTGATGTAGGAATAAATTCTTGTTATTTAAAAGCTCTAGATGATTGGGGGTGGACGAATTGGACTTCAACGAGGACTGCTACATCTGATTGACAATATCTTTCTGGAACTTATTGCATGTAACCTAGTCAGAATTTACTTATTTTTAATTGTTGGATTGAATTCATGACGTTGCATTGGAAGTCTAAATATAGCAAGATTTGTCATGGAGCTTTGCTTTTGGAGGATTGTGCGATCTTGCTCGGCAATTGTAAGCAGAATTATGTTCGACAGTGAGGGAAGTTGTGTTCTTAGTTGTCAATTCGGTACTTTTATAATGTGAATGAAGTTTCAGCTTCCAATCAGATGGCTATCTCGGGACTAATTAGACACAAACAGCTTTCTTGCAACAGTTTTTCATTGTGCATATCGTTAACAGAACGCACAAATAAAGATTTTGAGAACGAATTACATTGAAATTCTTATGTTACCCATCTAAAAGCCAAAGCCAGAAGCTTTTTGAATACTTGTCTCTTCAGGGACATCTAATAAAATTGGAACGATACAAAGAAGCTTTTTGAATACTTGACACACGAATTTGGATTGTTTTATAAAAGGTTGCTATAGACGAGTTTGTTTATTATTTATTGAAGCCGAATAGCGATTTAATGGCATTGATGGCATTCTCATTGATAAACGACTCGTCAAACCTTTTCACAAGAGGCTCAAATTCCTCCGATGTCCTCAAGGTTGATAGGTCAGGATCCGTCCGAACTCTCTGGCAAACATTACGAGCAATAATTTCACAACTTCCACATATATAGTCTAAGGTATGTAATACTTATTTGAATATCAAAACCTGAAGTGGCTGTTACCTTGAAATCTTCGAATCCTGCTTCCAAGGCATCTTCAAGGGCGGATAGCCCAGCTTTCAACTGTTCCAAAATTATAAAAGGACACTGATCAGTTACCCCATTTTGTGTAATTCTGACCAGGAACTTGGAAATTGTTCACAAACAAACGGACCTAGAGAAAGTATAATAAGCTAAGTTTCAGATGGACCACGTCGTGACAATTTTAGTTGTTTTCCAAACAGACTCTGCATCTAATCAAGTACCATACAACTGCGTACAGATCATTATTTTTATATATTAAAGCAAAAGCATTACCTGATTTAGTTGGGAATAACAGCATGCAACATTGTAACTGGCAACTGAAGCTTCGTCTGGAGCTGGTTTTGATCCCAACACTGACTCGAATTTCTCTAATGCTTCCTCATATTTAGCATTCCTTGAGGAGGGGAAAAAACAAAAAGAAAGGTTACAATTTAAAAGTAAACAATACAGGTAGAGGACAAATTGGATAAGTAGCACATACTTGTAGAGCTGTAGTCCTTCGCGTAGGTCATTTTCTCTGCGTGCTTTCTGCTCCTTCATCCTCGAGGCATTTTGCAACTGTAACAATTACACCTATAATAGGTAAACAATATAGAAAAATTTTTAAATGCATTTTTCTTCTTTTTCAGTACTGTTCTGTAGTTATTGCTGGTTTGAACTCTTTAGCAGCATAACGTGGACTGTTTTTAGATAAGAAAATGAACGGCAGGGTGAGGGTGTAGGCTGAGAGTGCATCTGAAGTCCACAGCTAAGGAGATAAACCTTTGGTTTCCAAAGTAGAAGATAAAAGGGACTGGCTAAAACTTTTCGACGTCAACAACCTAATAGTCATTCCAATCTGATAACCATATTACATAAAAGAGGCATGGTACGACACTTTCAACCAACTCCCATCTCTCATAAAGAAGTCAAACCATACCATATGTCCTACAAATGAAAAAAAGAAAACAAAAAGAAGTTGATTGACAACTTTTTTTTTAGAACAAGAAACTATTTCATTGATATATGAAATATGATAACAAAAGGGCCCCAAATTGGGCTACAAAAAAGCTCTCCAATTAGATAAGAGAGAGGCAAAACTACCGTGATGAAATATAGGGGAGCATTTACACCAAGATATCACCAAGAAAATTATGGAATCAAATAAGAGATGTGGGGGACGCTCCTTATCTTGGAAGATTCTTTGATTTCTTTCCAACCAAATCGTCCAAAGAAACGCCCGAACAAAATGAAGTCATAGTCAAAGTTTCTTCTTTTTTAAGGGGTGGCCGGTTAGGGTATAGTCCAGAAGCATCGATAAATCGGTAGGTAAAGCCATCGACCATCCAAAAAGAGAAAGGAGCTTTTGCTAATAACTTCAGGCTAAATCACAAGAGACAAACACATGGCCACTAGATTCGCCATGTTTTTTGCATAAAGTGCACCAGTGGGGAGAAATATTCATGAAGGGCATACGTCTTTGGAGTTTTTCCTGTGTATTGATAGCATTGACAAAACTAGCCTTCATTTCAAGAGAAAGGCCTGCAATTAGGGGAGCATCTCTTATGCGGTTACACCACAAACTGCAAATACATGATTGTGAGGCCCTAATTCTTGATTGGAGAGGACGCCAAAGGCCTCTGCCCCTCCATCCCTTGGATAGATAAATAGGGAGGGCAGGGCTTTTTTTTTATTTCTTATTTTTTTCATGTCAAAAAGTTACAAAGATTTTTTATTGAACAATGAAAATAGAAGGTGAGTGCATAATTGAATTCATCAAGTCATAATCGAAGCCTACTGGTCTACTGGGATGCTCCAACTACATACATCATTGCATTTCCACTTGAAATCTTTATCGTGACATAAACAACTCATCTTGCCTTGACCTTCTCTTGAATTCTCAAAACTTGCAAACAACTTGATCTCCCTTCAACACTTTGAGCGAAATGCAGCAAAAGGAAGGAATTTTTATTTGGTTAAAAAAATGTATTACATCCAAAATAATACAAACATAAGACTAACAGGATAAGAAATCCTTCAACATGGAGCCAAGGTATTTACTAAGAGGCTCTCCAATTGGCTAGAAGTAAAATGAAGAATAGTTAAAAAAATATATTAGATTTCAAAAGCCCATATAGAGACCCAAAACACAATAAAACTCTACATAAAGGCTCTCTAACTAAATATACTTTTCTTAAAAATCCCCCACCCCCAAAACTACGTTCTAAGTTACGAGAAATAGGCTAGTTAGTTTATACCTTCCCATTAATTATTGAGGAAAAAACCTATGAAATTTCGTGTAAGAGTAGCACCACAACTGGGGCAAACCCACATGTAGACCAGTGGGGGACTGGAACACCGTATGCTATTATGAAATGTCAAAAACAAGATTCACATAGTCTTACTTCAAAGAAGCCGGAAGCTGCCACGACTATGGTTGTAGACCCATGATTTTGGTTACTTCCCTCTAGAAGATCACCATCAAGGTTCTAGCTGAATGACTTGAAATTTTTGACCTTGATTATTGATGATTCTCAATCGGCATTTATGGAAGGTTGTTAAATTCTCGACAGTTTTCTAGCTTTGCAGTAGTATTGGAATGGAAGCTCAAGAAAAAGAAGTTCATTTATCTTGAAATCAGATTACTAGGCGGCAAGAAAATGGATATCTTACTTTATTGCACACTACTTACTGGCCAAGCTGGGAAAAATCCTACGAAGTATGCACACTATTTACTGGCCAAACTGAGAAAAATCTTTCAGAAAGGAGGCAAGAGAACGAAGATCTTACATTATATGATATTATAGCTGCTAGTAAACGGAGATCTTACATTATATGATATTATAGCTGCTAGTAAAAATTCACTTACTTGGATTTCTCTCACTTTATTACTGACTACGCCCGAGTTTCTTTCCGCTCTGATTATCTCCTTTTCCGTTAACTCACCAAAACTATCTGTTTTTCCTGGAAAACAATCACAAACAAGGGTCATATTCATAGAAAAGTTACAGTATTTTGTTAATAAGGGAACTCTTATATATACAGGTCATCAGCCATTTTTAAGATAAGAAATCAAGTCGTCGGTTATTTTGATTTGTTAATATTTTTTTGTACTTCTGTTCATAATTGATGTGTTGAGTATGGTTAATAACTAACCATATCTCTTCTGCATTTTCATGAGTAATGGACCAATTCTTTGCCGAATTGTATACATTGTCCTTCCGTATTCTGCAGCAGGCCATATTTCTGTCCCAAACACTGCACTGCATTGATGTAACTATTTTGTTCATCATACTCAACCATGGAAGAAAAGCTGCAAATGTTTCTGCTAGGAATTTTCTTTACACATTTTCATTCTAAGATAAATCAAGTCTGTTGGAGATGTGTAGAAATCATGGAGCCTAGATGTTTTCTTTTTCTTTTCTTCTTTTAACTTCCCTTTGGAAAAAATACACAAGAAGAAGAACAAGGCGAAATTTATCAGCAGACAGCATTATAGTTCACCCTTGACTAAAGCAGTTGAGTCGATTGAAATCCTAGCGTCAAGGAAAAACACATTACAAATTCATGGAGTCTAGATGTTTTCATTCCTTTTCCCATCATACTTTCTTTAGGAAAAAATACACGAAAACAAGAAGACAAAATTCATCAGCATCATAATTCACCGTTGCCTTAAGCAGTTGAGTCACTTAATACCCTAGCGTGTTGTGACCATACAATCAAATCTGTTGGTGTAGACCAGTATGAGATGGCGTTCATGTTTTCTTATTGTCTCATCCAGGCGCCATGTGCTGTAATCTAATCTTTGACTACCAAAGAAGGAGTCAGGTACGGAGTTTAAAGAGAATGTTATGCATTGACCATGCATCTACCATCTGGAAAGTTGTACAGATAATGCAGGTATAGAGAGGAAGCAGTAGGATGTGAAGAAGCAAGCCACATGCTATCGTTCTCAGTTCACAATTTAATTTGGTAGGCGTGCGAATAAATTGAGAGGTCAATTGTTGATGATTTGATGATAGTGAGCAAGTTTGATGGTGCATAGGTTGGAATGAAAAGGAAAGATAGGAAGGAGGAAAAGAATAGAGAAAAAGACAGAGAATACCTGGTAGCAATAACTTTATCCCCGACGGTGAACAATCCAGTTTTGTCAGCAGAGCCACCGGGTGCAATGGCGTCGATATAAGTTCCGCCGTCTCGGCCCTTGGCAAACTTCAACCCATAAGGCTGCTCCAGTTCCACTTGGTACTCTTCATAAGGTTGATCGGCATCGGCATCGGCATCTCCGAGTCCAGTATCGCTTTTGGATTCTATATCGGACGCCCTGACAATGAAAGCTGAGGATCTAAGGGAACGAGGGTGAGGAGTGGAGGAGGAGGAGGAGGAGAAAGTGAGATGAAAGTGAGCGTTGGAGGGAAAGAGTTTGGGAGTGAAGGAAGAGCAAAATTTGGGAAGTGGCTGGGAAGAGGAGCTCAAGGTGGGTGCCGGTGGAGCTAAAGACATTCTGAGTTGCTCCTTGGAGTTGGAGGTTTTGGAAGGAACTTGTTTTCTTCGGATTTCTTTGGCCGTAAATTAATTGTAATAACAGAATCGGATTGCGATTGCGATTGCAGGCACCACATTCTTCGTACTTCGTACAGCCACACACTCTCTCGCCAGCTACACCTATCACCTTTCACCTATCCATCCTTTTTTTTTTTTTTTAAATAATCAACTTTAGAAATACTACCGAGTGAAAATCTAATTAAAAATCTAAATCAATTTCTTATTGGAATTAATATTGTTCTATATATATATATATTAGATGGTTCATTTCTCCAAAAATTAATAAAATTTAGCCCAAAGACTAAAGCAAAACTTTTAAAATTCACAGTTGACACAAATGAGATTCCAAGTACACCATTCATTATTTAACTTAATTATTTTTAAAGGTTAATTTCTCTTATTTTCCTTATATTGTTTTCATGTCCTAGTTTTTTAGACTAAATTAATTTGTCATTCCAATATCATGAATTCTATCCTAAAATAGATATATGTACACCCTGAATTCGTAAATAATATATCTTGAAAATAATTTTAGAAACAGGAAAAAAAAAAACTATTTTTCAGAGAACTTCAAGCATTCTCTGGTAGGCGGAAGCTAAAGAGAGAGATATAAGGGTTGCGCATTATAATTTATAATTTATAATCTGTCCAAATGCTGAGGGAAATGGACATAGAAAGTGCTGCAGAAAATGAATACATCTGCTCTAAGTTCCATTATGTTACAGGAGAGGAATACATTTGAGCTATTTAAAACTACAATCGTTCAATCTGCTTTCTTCAAGTTTAAGCAATTATCAGCCACTTGGCTGAAAAGCTCCTGAACCTGTTTTAATTCCTTCTCTGCAACAAACGATTCCATTGAGATTGTAAATGGTGTATAGCCATGCCAAAATATCAGTATATTCAACAGAAGAGAAGGTGAGCAATTTAGAGTTTAAATTAATTGAATCATTGTAAGTTGCAAACCAGACAATGATCTAATCAACTTATGTGAGTTCGGACCAAAATGAAACCATAGACAGTAACAATCTCCAAAAGGAAATAGTTTTTTTCGTATGCTTTTGAGGTCATGGTGGACCCAAAATTTGCAACTAGGCATGTTGTAAATATATAAAGGGCGAGAAGAAGACGAGATACACCTGCAGCTTCCAACTGCTTTTGAAGTTCTTGGCCTACAGCATCGTTCTCAGCCTGGATAACAAGTTTCAAACTCACTGAGAACTAAATATTACAGGAACTCTGGTCTTATATCAACATCAGAGTATTGGAAGAAGATTTATACCTGTAGTTCTGCAATCCTTTTCAACTGTTCTTCTTCACCTCCATCAGATAGAGGCAATGCTGCGACCAATACATCAAACTGTGCCAAAAAAAAAATTATATATATATGTATATACACACACAACAATAAGAATAATAAAAAGGGAACATATATTCAATTGGATTGCATTTAAATGAAGCATGGTCCATTCTCTTATACCTCAATTCATTGTACTTTCAACCCCATCGCTAGAAACTTATTAAAATGAAAATTATCTCAGCAAATTTTCTAAATAAAAAATGATTCAGATTTCAGTCGAATAATGGGTTGAATTGCAGATTCCCATACATCAACCCAAACAATAGTTCTTAAAAGCAGGCTAAACATATCAGGCAGTTAAAAGCAGAGAATAATTTTTAAAAATTTTATAATATTTTGGCTTATTGCCGATTCAAGAACCCACAGCTGCCCAAGTAGTATCTGAAGTTGGAAGGAAAAACTAAATTGTTTTTAGTTGGAGAAGGAAAAAGTAAATCGGAGTTTCGAATACCAAATTTGCTTCCTTTGATGTATATATCGTATATATCGTATATCATAGCATTATAATGTGTACGCATCTCAAAGAAGTAGCAGCAAATCTGTTGCTTGATATGTTACTACCCCATCAAGAATGCAGTAAAATTTAAGAGAGCTGAAAAGCAGGTAATGACAATCCTGTATCATCCTCAGAAAAAACAGGTTGAGACTTGGCATTAACCAGATCCACCAAACGAGCATTCAAGGATGAGTGATTTTTGCCGCTTCCAACCGCAACACAAGGGTGCTTCAAGCAGGTAGTTGATTGTTGGTTACTTATTGGTAGATAAAATGCATATCAAGTTAATCTATGGTACTGACATTTAAAAAAATGGCAGTATTAATTTTCCCCAAGAGGGAGAGGCATATACTTTTCTTGATATTTCGACCCATCAAGAAGCAACTAACAAGAGGCACATGCATCACAATCTCATATTTTCTACCCAAAGATACAAACAGGAACCCATGAATATCAAGTATCAACAGGGAAAAAGATTACAGATTGTGCATGAGCAACATCAAACAATTCAATCCCACCGAATAATAATTTACACCTGCTTAGCAGCTTTGACCAAAGCGGCACTCATAAGCTTGGGCTGCTCTGCGATGTTTGCACTGTCCTCTGTAGGTTCCTGAGACGGTGGTTCAGGATAATTTGAGGATAAACGAACTGGAGGAGCGTCTCTTTGTAATGTCCCAAATGTGTTGAAAGCTAAAGCTGCAATTGTGTTAACTTGTTCCTGTAGTTGGGAAATTATGTCCATCTTGAACCTTATCCCTAAGAAGAATGGTCCAAAAGATGATTCAGCAAACAATATACATATCACGTCAATTAAAATCAGCATCTCGTAACTGATTGAGTGAGAATGCAACCCATTTCATTCAGTATAATCCAGAACAAGTCTGTAATAACATCGAAGGCTTGGTAAGAAAATTTTATACTCCTAAGACTTCGCATCCGAATGTAATTGTTGAGAAACAACGTCATAGAGGAAAAACAACCAATTCAAAAGAAGAAAAATCGAACGAGATACCCTGGAACCCTAGTTCTCGACTCGATTTATTACGATTAAAAACACTACGAAATGCGGATATATGTTTGAGGGATCTAATCAGGATATTGTGTTTGGTTGGTAAAGTAAATGATGAGATAACATCAAATCCATGAAAACAATCGAAATTGAATGACGTACTTGTAAGATATTTAATTTATTTATCAAATGACGGATAAACCAATTCCCGTTCTCAAAACCCTTGGAAGACCAGCTGAGTTCGATTAGTCCATCGAGAAAAATTCCAGAACAATGTATAATTAATAACAGAAACTGAAAGGCAACTTGGTTTCATCATACGATGCTGACAATCAGCACACGTTACATGGTTATCATTTATGAAGATTACTTACGATGGGATGAGCGTGAAAGAGAGATCACTGTTTGGGCGGAGACAACCGATGCGATGCCGGTGCCGACGAAGCAAACCCAGCAAGTCGGCGAGAGATGGTGGCTGCCTGGTGGAGCGGATAAGTGGTGGCGAGTTGGTAGCGCGACGGGCGGCGAGGTAGCAGTAAAAGGGATGGATGGGTGTACGGTTTGCCGTGCCGTCGCTGCTGTAAGGCGCTGAGTAATATTCTTAAAAGATCAAGTAGTTAAGAATCAATCTGAAAAATGATTTTTATCGCAAAAAAAACCCCGAAAAATGATTTTAGGTTTTTCACTTTCAAAGAGAGTGATTTGAAATAAATTACATTAAATTTCTTCGGATGTTGCTTGAAAAGAAAAAAAATTACTGATTTAAGTTTTTAATCTAATTTTATTTATTATAAATTAAAATATAACAAGATTAAATAGGAAATTTATTTTGAAATTATATGAAATCCTACCAAATTTGATTATTATGATCCAAAATTTTTTTTAATGTAAATATAAGATTTCAAATCATTCAAAATTACATGGTACCGAGTAATAGAATTCATTTGAAATCTGTAATGATATTGAATTTCTTTAAATAATTAATATTTTAAAAAAATTATAACTTAGTGATCTAACCTAATAAAATTTTTACTATCTAAAAAAAATGATAATATTTATAATAGGTTCATTTTAAGCTTTCCAATAATATTGACAATTCACATGTGGAACTAGCTTGATTAAAAAAAGGAGAAATTTAACTATAATGGGTAAATAATATTTGCATCTCATAGATTTAAATCTTTACTTCTAATTTCATATATTGAAGAGTGTATGGACGGTTGATGAGATGTTCGACTACGCTAAGAATGAGAAAATATATATGTGGACACAATATTCTACAATTTATTCTCTTATATGTTTCCCACGTATTTCTAATGAAATTGTGCATCGTTCTAAAAAAATTAAATGTTTGGTTGATTTAAAAAAAAAGTTGTTTGAATTGGTACAACTTTTATAAAGTTAACCGATGCTTTATGTCAATTCGAGAGCATAGTATCAATGATTCAATTCCCACTCCTACAATAGTTTAATAAAAATAATGTCATTATTTATCAAAAAGATAACTTTAATCCGACATTTGATGTTCATGAATTTATAAATGAATTTTTTCAATCCTCCGAATCGTAAGTATTAATCGATCTAAACATAGGTACTTTTCAAATTAACATTTATGGGTATAGTTGAAGGTATGAATATATATACCATAAACATTATAAATTGAAACTTGTAAAATTTATTCATAAAAATAAGAATAATCCAACCATGGGCGGAAACTCAATGTTGGTCTTTTTGACTCATATTTAATGAGTCTAAGTTTTGTGTATTCTAGAGTTTGAAAACATGTATTTATCTTTGCGGTGTAATGTAGATTTGAATGGTGTAGATGATTTGTGAATGTGTGATGGATACGTTGCTTTTGAGGTGGTTTGGAAAACCCCTTTATATAACAGTGGTAGTAAATAAAATTTAGGTGGGATGAAGATATCGAATGTGAGGTGGCGTGAAGTGAATGGAAAGTTCCTGGTTGTGAAAGCAAAATAAGCTAGGACTAGCAGGCATTATTGTATGCTTCATGGTGAATGAATGAATGTATGCAATTATGGGGAGCTATGGGTCTAATAGTAATAGTAATAAGCGATCACTTCACAAACCAAATTTCGATGGAAAGAAGAAAAAACGTATTTATCTGAACGGACAAAGTTAAGTGGAGTTGAGTATTGAGTTAAAGTAGGATGAATGTGGCATGTGAACGGACATAATGATGGCATATTTCAGTCCCGTCAGTGTTGTTGCACTTGCACTTGCTACACTTAGCTAGCTATATAGGCTCTAGGCTTCCTCTCTTCCAAAATTTTCTCTAAAGACATAGGCTTGCCACACACGCATGCACCTTGGATTATTTATTTAAACCCCCGCTGCCGCTGCGACTATCGATCCAAAGTCCAAACAACATAATAATAAATATGTTTTCTAATTACAATCCTCACCCTGCCTTCTGCCTCTTAATTTCTCTCCTCATCCTTCATTCGATCATATCTACTTCTTCATCTCATCATGTATAAATTACCATATTATCTCCTACCGTGTGCTAATAGAGCTAGCAATAGCACTATCTAATCAATAATTACTTATAATTTCTTCCATATATTATACTATCTCTTTATCCTGACGTTAACGTGCATATATGTGTGTTTATTCTTGAAATGTAGGTGGTGTATATAGTATATTTAGGGCACAACCGTCTAGGTGATCCTACTATCACCTCCAAATATCATCTTTGTCTACTCTCTAAAGTATTTGCAAGGTTAATTTAATTTAATTATATGATCAGTTACCTACATTTTCCTTTAGTTTCGAGTTTGCATGCCGCTGTCTGTGTGTGATTCTACTAGCTAGCCAATGCTAATGAATGCATGTATTAATGCAATCCCATGGCGTAGAAATAGAATTAATGTCTCTAAATACTATTTTGATCCCTATATTTTTTGTTTTGGTTAATTTTGTCTAAGAGTATTTTCAAAATTGGTTCATTTTAGTCATTTTACAACTCTACGAATGTCACTTTTGGTCCCAATCCTTAAAGAAAAGTGACCATTTTAGTTGCATTTTTTCATTATTTCCTTTCCACCATAATTTCAACCTGAAAATTTTCTTCAAATGTTGACATAAATTTGTATAGATTTATATTTGGGGAATTTTGCAAATATAAATTAATGTGTATGTATATTTTGCAAATATAAATTAATGTGCATGTATATCTGCGTTGTTTGAAGTTGTTGCAGTGAAGAAGATGCTAATGGAGCCATGTTGTACAGCTACAAGCACAGCTTTTCGGGATTCTCGGCCAAGCTTAATGCAAGCCAGGCAATGGAGTTATCACGTAATAAATTATATAAATATACTAATTGATATGATTTGAAATGGATATGGTCTCCCTCCAACTTGTTTCTCAGTTACGTTAGTTTGGAATGAACGAAATGAATTGCAGAGATGGAAGTAGTGATATCTGTATTCAGGAGTAAAACGCTGCAACTCCACACAACAAGAAGCTGGGACTTCTTAGGCCTTCCCCTTCCGCCCCCGCCCACTAGGACGCCACTTCCGCCGCAGCTTGCCTATGGATATGACGTTGTTGTTGGCGTCTTCGATTCAGGTGACGGATCTTAATTAACTAATTAATTACGGGAGGGGAATTGAAGTATATATTTGAGTAATTAATGAAGTGCATGCAAATGCATATTGATTAGGCGTGTGGCCGGAATCCGAAAGTTTCCAAGAAGCGTGGTCCATGGGTCCAGTTCCATGCAGTTGGAAGGGAAAATGCGTGAAGGCGTACAGGTTCGACCCTGAATCAGCCTGCAACTGGAAGCTCATCGGTGCTCGCTACTATCTCAAAGGCTTCGAAGCCAAATACGGAGCGCTGAACGTGAGTGGCAGTGGCAACCCGGAGGAGTTCCCCTCCCCACGAGACTTTCTAGGGCATGGAACTCACACCGCCTCCACCGTCGTGGGCTCCGTTGTGGAGGATGTGAGTTTCCTCGGAGGCGGACTAGGTAGGGGAATTGCCCGAGGAGGAGCTCCCAGGGCTAGGCTGGCCGTCTACAAGGTGTGCTGGGGAAAGGACTACCAAGGCAAGTGCACGGAGGCGGACTTGATGGCCGCCTTCGACGATGCTCTGCGCGACGGAGTGCACGTCATCTCCGCGTCTTTAGGAGGAACGCCGCCGTTGGATCCGTTTCTAGACTCCAGCGCTGGCATCGGCTCGTTCCACGCAATGCAGCAGGGAGTGAGTGTGGTTTTCTCAGGCGGCAACGACGGGCCCCATCCCTCCCTCGTCCAAAATGTGTCTCCCTGGAGCATCTGCGTTGCCGCTTCAACTACTGATCGAACCTTCCCCACTCAAATTCAAATACTTCTCCCCAACCGCCGCATCTCTATCACCGTACGTGTTACGTTCCATCCCTCTTCAGCTTATTCTGTATTACAAATTTACAATTACCATTATACATATATAAAACTAATTAACCTCAGCTCGTGTGTGTTGCGTTGTGGGATCAGGGCGACAGCTTGATCACTGAAAGCATAACTAACGCAAAACTGGCAGATGCAATCAACTACTTTACGGACGGGTGGGTGCAATGCAATCACAAATCACACACGCACATATATGTCCTGTTTGATGTACGTCTGCGTTGAGTGGTTACATTTGTCCGCTTAAATAATTAATTCAGAATTTGCGAGCGGGCGAGTATAAGGAAAGCTAGTAAATCAGGTGCAGGGAAAGTGGTGCTTTGCTTCTCCACCATTGGTCCAACTTCCATAGAGGTAGCACAGGAAGCGGTGATGACCATCAATGCCTCTGCTCTCATATTCGCTGCGCCCCCTACCACGCAGCTACCTGACCTAGATCTCATCCCCACAGTTCGACTTGACATTACTCGGGCAACTCAAATTAGAAATGTCCTTACCGAATTGCCCAGGTTTTCCGATCCTTACTTAAATCCATTCACATATTTATATATATGTGTGCGCGCGTATAACGCGAACAAATTAATTAACTACAGACTGCCAGCAGTGGAGATAGGAGTTGCGAAAAATGTGATCGGGAAATCGGGGGCTCCCAGCGTGGCCTACTTCTCGTCCAGGGGACCGAGCTCACTTTCACCTGAAATTCTCAAGGTACGACGCGTAGAATAAAATCAAAAGGACGTTTAAGGAAAGGAAATTAGGGTTATATGTATATTTGGTGCAAGTGCAGCCAGACATAAGTGCCCCTGGAGTGAACATATTGGCAGCATGGCCTCCGGAAACTGCTCCAACAGTGAGGCCGGGGCCGAAAGGCTCCGGCCATGTCAAGTGGAATTTCCAGTCAGGGACTTCAATGTCATGCCCTCACGTCTCCGGCGTTGTCGCCCTCATCAAATCTGCGCATCCCAAGTGGTCACCTGCAGCCATTAGATCTGCCCTCATCACCACAGGTTAGATTATACCCTAAACCAAACCAACTGCTAGCTGTTCTTCAGATCCAATACTAACTTAATTGGATCCAGCCACCAGGAGGGACTCCACTGGTGACACCATTCTAGCAGGTGGGTCCATGAAAGCATCTGACCCCTTTGACGTTGGTGCTGGCCAAGTCAATCCCTTGAAAGCATTGGATCCAGGGCTAGTCTACGACATGACGGCCAATGATTATATTCCCTTTCTCTGCAGTCTTGGGTACACAGAGCACCAAATCAGGATGCTTCTCAACCCTTCTCCTGATCAGGCTCACACCCCCCTTTGCTGTCCTTCTAATTTGGTTGCCAATCTCAACTATCCCTCCATTACACTTACACGTCTCCACTCCACCACTACCATCAAAAGGACCCTTCGCAATGTGGCACCAAACAAGAATGCGGTCTATTTTCTTAGAGTGCTTCCTCCCAGTGGAGTGCGGGTGGTGGTATGGCCCAGGATTCTGTTTTTCTCTTGCTTCACCCAACGCATTTCATACTATGTTACCATAACGCCGCTCAAGAAATCTCGACCAAGATATGATTTCGGGGAGATTCAATGGTCAAATGGCTTCCATAGCGTCACAAGTCCTCTGGTAGTAAACACATAATAATAATAATAATAACAACAATAATAATAATGTTAATCCTATTCTTATCTTTAATAAATCTCATCTTATCAAATATCAACCATGCTTCTGATATGTCATAAAGGTACGGTTGTGTTCCCTTGTCATTTTCTCCGCTATATACATAATGTTAATTATCTTTTATTCTCACTTATTTTCTCCGCTACAAAAAATTATGTTCACATAATTTCTTTCTGTATGTAAAGAGAGAAGAAAAAACAAAATTCTTTTCACCTCCTGAATCTCCTTCGTTAAGTTAATACCGCATCCTTAGAACCCCTTTTCTTTGGAAAAAACAAAGAACAACTTTCCATTTCATTACATTATAATACCTCCATTCTTTTCTTCTTTCCCCTTGGTTTCATTTCTGTGCTTCAATTTCTGTCTGTGTTTTCGGAGATTGAACGAGGCATCTGCACCTGCACGGTTTTTTTGCTTTTCAATTTTATTTTAATGTTGAAAACTATTGAAGGAATCTGGAAGGGAGCGACCATTTTATATATACTGAGATAGTATGAATCAGATGACAAATAAATAATTTTATTAATTATATTGTTGCAACGTGGAAACAAAAATATTCAGGAAAAGAAAAAAAAAATCCCCTCTTCAATTAGTCATAAAATGGACAATTGCTCGTACGTGCCGTGAGCCATATAAACATCATCTAATTACCACCCCAAAACCACCACAAAAAAGGCTATGCTTCCTGCATACAAGCTATGTATCAACAATAAAATGGAAGTCTTTTGCATGAACAACCTTCCTAGATAAATTTACACATCTTAAACTCCATACTCCAATTACATTTTTCATGGAAGGGAAGTGCCCTCTAATTTCTTATCCACCAGGCCAACACCATCTTTAAGACAATTTTAAATTCAAATTTCAAAGTAACGTAAGTTCATATAGGACGTATATGATAACATGTAATGCTAGATCAATCTGACAACTTGTTCTATCACACATCATAAACTATTACTCAACTCTATGAATATAACAGAAATGAGCACATCCCCACGCCTGCAGGTGAAAAAGCAAACCCTTACTGGTGGTTTGCGGCATCCTCGCACCAAGTATGAGATCATTAAACTCACTTCACTTTGACTGCTGTTAACAGCAACATGTTTAATATCCGCCCCGTACCCCCAAAAGCTCAGACTTCAGAGGCACTTCGTGCTTCTCTTGGGCATGAGTTGACTCAAGTTTTTTTATGTCCTTCCAAAGTTCCTAAGGCACCCCAAAAGTTCAGAGTCGTGCACCGGCTACTTCTTGCTTCTCTCGAGCATAAGTTGAATCAATTTCTTTAATGTCCTTCACAAAGGTCCTTAGGCACCCATTAATAATACGAGGGGCTGCTCCATCACAGAATCGTTTTGCAAGATCAATGGCCTTTATCAATAACCAAG